GGTTGCATTCCTTTTACTGCTGAGTGTAAATAGTCAGGGTATGATGTACCGCAGTTTAATTATCCGATTCCCTTGTGGAATGGACAATTTTGATTGTTCCAGTCTGAGGTGCTGTATGAAGGCTCGTGTAACATTTGTGGTTACAAATATCTGAGTGTAGACATAGCTTAATCTCTTGGGAAAATATTAGAACAGAATGGACTAAATATACGGTAGGTATATGTGGTTACTTTTAACTTTTTTTGTTTTTGGGAGTTGGACGTCTGCCCATCACCCAGGCTGAGTAATGGCTTGAATCGTCAGCTCACTGCAACTCCCCTCTCCGCTGGGTTCAATGATTCTTCCGCCTCAGCCTGTCCAAGTAGGCTGGGATTACAGCACTGCCACTACGTGTGGCTAATTTTTGTATTTTTAGTAGAGACTGTTGACCAGGCTGGTCTCGAAACTGCCTGACCTGTGAGTCCACCTGCCTTGGCTCCAAAGTGCGGGATTACAGGTGAGCCACCGCACCCAGTCAATTTTTTTTTTTTTTGAGAGCAGAGTCTTACTTCTGTCACCAAAGGTTGGGTGAGCGGTGCATTCAGCTCACTGCAGCCTCCAGCCTCTCCAGGGTCAAGTGATTCTCCTCCTCAAGCTCCCGAGTAGGCTGGATTAAGGTGCATGCCGCCATGCTGCTAATTTTGTATTAGTCTGCCTCGCCTCATCCAAAGTGCGCGAGATACAGGTTATGGAACCACTGACCAGAGGTATGGTTTAACTGTTTAAGGAAATTTTTAAAGTTTTTTCCAAATTGTCCAAGAATGGTGGTGAAAGACATAGATAAAATGTAGAGCACCAGCAAGTGTGTAATCAGAGGCGCTGGCCAGCCTGTTCATTTTCTTAACGGTGTCTTTCAAAAGCAAAAATTTTCCTTTTGATGAAGTCCAATTTATCAAGCTTTTCTTTGATGGATTGTGCTGTGTTGCTGTATCTAAGAACACAGTATGGGTGGCCCTAATGTTCCGTAGCAGCTTGCCCCACATATGTCACCTTCCATCCCGAACCACATTCCTCAAACCTCTGTGTCAGAAACTGTCTCCAAGGGGAAAGAGAAAACCCGTAGTTTCTTTATCAACTCCTACCTCTTACCTTAACCATCCTCTTCCCCAGGAGCAGTGAGCCCTTCCCGGACCCAGGAGTAGGGTAGAGTCGGGCTGCGATGGCCGAGGAGGTGGCACAGCGCAGCATTGAGGACATTTTCCATGCAGGCTTTCTCACTGGCTGGTTGTAAGACTTTGGGCACCTCTCTCAAACTCAGTATCTTCCTCTGCAGAGTAGAGGTGATAATGGGCCTACCTCCCAGGCTGCTGTAAAGATGAAAGGAGTTAGGGCAGAGAACATACTGAAGCCCCAACAGCTAGTAGTTGGGTCAGGTTAGTTGATATTACAAATCTTGGCTGCAGGCCCTAACTAATTCTCACCCCACTCTTGTCTTTCCAGACAGATATTGGGTTTATCTACCATTCTCCGGGTAGGTAACACTTATGGCAAATATGTATGTCTTCTGAGAAAAATCAGGCCAGGGGTCAGAATACCTTAAAATCCCTATACGTCCAACACATGGGTGGAGGGAAGTATTAGAGGTTGTAAATGATTTTCTGTATTTGATAATATTTTACTGTACATTGTGGTATTTTATTTTACCTTATGTTTTAATTTAATTTTATTTTTTGAGATGGAGTCTCGCTCTGTCACCCAGGCTGGAGTGCAGTGGCTCGATCTCGGCTCACTGCAACCTCTGCCTACTGGGTTCAAGCGATTCTCCTGCTTCAGCCTCCCAAGTAGCTGGGATTACAGGCATGCGCCACCATACCCAGCTAATTTTTTATTTTTAGTAGAGATGGGGTTTCACCACGTTGGCCAGGCTGATCTCGAACTCCTGACCTCAGGTGATCCACCCATTTCAGCCTCCCAAAGTGCTGGGATTACAGGCGTGAGCCACCGCGCCTGGCCTGTTTTACTTTATAATAGTAGCATCTTTCTCCGAAAAACTCAGGGCATCCCTTTCAGTCAAGTGCTGGCCTTTTATTACCATCCTGGGTTAGATTTCTATTTTTTGAGGCCAGTATTGGAAGATTAAAGTTTGAGTGGAAGTTCCCACCCTACCTGGCTATAACATACACACCAGATTGAGGAAAATGGTTGCCTCTACAGTGCCTGGTTCCAGACCAGGCCACAGTGAGAACAGTAGGTTCCCAAGGCATAAACAGGGGTCCCTGTTCCTAGAGGCAACAGCTGGCAGCCTTGTGAGCACGCTATCATTGCTTCATGGTACACGTGACTCCCCTTTTCCTCTGCCACTGGGTAGAACACTCCCCTTTTCCTCTGCCACTGGAATACGCCTGAGACGTATTTCCACCTTCCCCTCCTCCTAAAACAAAGGCTGGTTTCAGGGGAGACGGAAGGAGGCTGGAGGCAGATCTCCCATGGCCCCTCTGCCTCTCCAGGTCACACACTCCTAAGGAAATGGCTAGGCCTCTGCCAACCAAATAACCCCGGCAGTGGTGTGACAGGCTACCTGAAAGTCACCATCTGTGCCCTCGGTGTGGGAGACCAGGCCCTGGTGAGCTGCCCCTAATGCCCCAGGAACCTATCCTATCCTGGCTGCCTCCTGGGGGCACCCCTGAGCCTCACCCTGGGCGTTGACCATCAGATCTCTCCTTGGTCCGCTGAGCCACTGTGGGGTCTCTCCTTTGTCCGCTGAGCCACTGCAGGGTTGTCCCATCCCCCTGCACCAAGTGGGAGGTTGGGGAAGCAAAGTCTGGGGTCCTTACCTGTGACCTCCACATGACCTTGACTATATCAGCCCTCTGGTCCCTCCAGATAGATCAAAAGCAGCTGTATGGGGCCGATGACACCGATATTCAGATCTTCAAGTCAGCGGTAGTCCCGATCAACATGGCTTACTTACAGTTCTTCATCTACTGCGCAGAGGACCTTCACCTCAGTGAGAGTCTGGGTGCAGGCGAGGGAGCAGCCCTGAGGTTCCCTACACGGTGGTACCCTGGATCCTCATGGAATTTCCTCATTCCTTTTGATACTAAACTACGGTCTGGGGTAGGGGGACAGGGTGAGACTGGAATGTCCCGAGACTTGTCCTGTGGAAGTGCCATGGACACCCTTTCAAATGGGCCTCACACCCCCGGCCTATGACGGCCAGATGCAGACTCAAGGCTCCCTATGTCCCCCCACCCCATGCCATTGTGTGGAAGAAGAAGGGGCGCGGTGGTAACTGGAGACAGGTCTGCCCTCTAGGCAGACCAGGGGGCACCTCTCTAAATTATAGGGGAGGGTTTTCAGTTGTTCTGTCTCCACTCTATTCCCTCCCCCTGAAAAAATATGCTGCTGGCTCAGATGTCTTTTAACTTGTTGTTCATAGAGAACCAGCAGTCAGTGAATCCTCAGTTGGAGGTGGAACTAATTGGGGAAAAGGTAAGTGTAGAAATGTTCTGAGACCTAGAGAGACTGGCACCTAGAGAAAGTAGTGTGGAGAGGAGGGTGGCCCGGTCAGCAAGACCACAGGAGTCATCTCCCAGTCACCCACTGAGAGAAGCATGCACCCCTGCACCTGGACCTCTGTGCAGGTGGAGGCCATGTCTTATTCTCTGCATGCCAGATGCCCCCCCAAAACCAAATACATGTAGAAGAATGAGTGCATGAGTGAAACATGCCAATGAGTGAACAACATTGAAACTGTCACCATTCCTCAGTTTCTTCATGTGTAAACGAAGGTTCTGGGCGAGAGAGTTGCTGACATTCCGTGAACCTCTATGAATACAGAACAGCATTTTCCAAAGGGTGCTGTTGGGTGTCATGGGTGAAAAAGGGTCCTATGTTCAGATTTGGAGAATGCTAGGTTAAAGGTAAATAGATTTGTTTCCGTATTTGCCAAGCAGAATTTCTACCACATTCTATTTTTTGCAAGCAAGTCATTAAATCCAGCCCACACATAAGCAGAGAGAAAATAATGTCTATCTTTTGAAGGGAGGAGTACCAAAGAAATTGTGGACATATTTAAAACCACCATACTGAGTATGTCCCAGTGAGTGGTTGGGTACCTCCAAGGCTAGGTGAAACGTTCTCAGGTGGTAAGTGACACACGGTTTTCAAAAATTTTGATACTTCTGTGTTCATCTTGTGTACCTTAAAAGGTTTAATAAGGCCAAGTAACACTTGGTTTCACAGATACCACTGCTTAAAAATGAAGTCAACTGATGGTTTTGAAAGAGGCATGCTGCTGCCATTAGCTGTGTTTTTACCCATTTTTCTTTTAGAATCTTAGAATTTATCTAGCAAAATCTATGTGTATACACTCATATAGTAAGGTTAGTAGCCCTACAGCTGTTTAAAAATGAGGTCTATTGAAAGCTGACTTAAGGAAAAATATGAGGAATCTGAATCTGGCAAGCACTTCGGATAAGTACACAAAGGACTGGTGCTGTTGCTACTGAGAAGTTGTGCAGGTGTCTTGAGAGCAGGGATGAGCCCGAGCACGTCTGTGTGCAGACAGTGGCCACCGGGGGCTGGACAGGAAGAGCTGGAAGGTGAGGCCAGTGGAGGGAGGAGGGGCAGGCTGGCACCAACACTGCTTTGGCACATTCCAGCTCAGGACGCACATGCAGACGCAAACCGACAACCCGATATGGAACCAGATCCTGACCTTCCAGATTCAGGTATGGCTCCTCCATCATGCCCGCTCTTCTCCTACATCCCCTAACATAGAAGGGAAGTTTGGATGGTTGTGTGCAGGTGAAGACAAGAGGGTGGGGGCCAAGAAGCATGGCAAGGGGGACTCTGCCTGATAGGGAGCATGAGGAAGCCCAGGACATACCATGGAAAACTTTACCTTTTACAGCTTTACTGAGTTATCATTGACATACCTATGTCAATGGTATGTATGACTTGTAGATATTTAAAAGTTACAATTTGGCCGGGCACGGTGGCTTACACCTGTAATCCTAGCACTTTGGGAGGCTGAGGTGGGCAGCTTACTTGAGCTCCAGAGTTTGAGACCAGCCTGGCCAACAGTGGCGAAACCCAACTCTACTAAAAAGATAAAAATTAGTCGGGCGTGGTGACATGCGCCTGTAGTTCCAGCTACTCGGGAGGGTGACGCAGGAGAATTGCTAGAACCTGGGAGGTGGAAGTTGCAGTGAGCTGAGCCGAGGTGGTATCACCTACTTATCTGAGCAAACACCAGCTCAGTAGGTGATAACAGCCTGTTGCCCAAGCCGAGCCACTGCATTCCAGCCTGCGCAACGGGGAGAGTCAGTCTCAGAAAAATATAAAAGAAGAAAGAAAGAAGGAAGGAAGTAGAAAGAAAGAAAGAATGAGTAGCTGGGACTATAGGTGCCTGCCACCAAGCCCGGCTAATTTTCATACTTCTAGAAGAAAGAAAGAGAGAGAGAGAGAGAGAGAGAGAAGGAAGGAAGGAAGGAAGGAAGGAAGGAAGGAAAAAGGGAAGGAAAGGGAAGGGAAGGAAGGAAAAGAGAAAGAGAAAGAAAGGGAGGGAAGGAAGGAAGGAAGGAAGGAAGGAAGCAAGGAAGGAAATGTACAATTTGATACATTTTAAAATATGTACACATCCAGGAAACCCACCATTACAATCAACATGATGAATATATCTATAACCTCCAAAAGTTGCCTCATGCCCCTTGGGAATCCCTCCCTGTGATTCCCATTCCACCCCCTCCCATCCCCAGGCAACCACCAATCTGCTTTCTGTTACTACGGATTAGCTTGCATTTCCTAGTGTTTCATAGAAATGGAATCGTTCAGTAAGTACGCTTATTTGTTTGACTTTTTTCACTCAGCATAATTATTCTGAAATTAATTCATGCTGTTGCTGTGTATCCGTGGTTCATTCTTTTTGTTGCTGAGTAATATTCTATTGTATGGATGTACCACAGTTTGCTTATCCCTTTCCTTGTTTATGATCGTTTCCAGTTTGCAGCTGTTACAGTGAATCTGTAAACACTTGTGTGCAACCCTTAGCATAGACATATGCTTTCATTTCTCTTAGGTAAATATGTAGATGCAGAATGACTAGATTCTGGTAGATATATTAAGCAATGAGTGGGTCATACAACTGAACTTTCCAGAGAACTTAAATGTGCCCTTTCACCCACATATAAAAACAAAACAAATCCCTTTAAAGACCCATTTTAAATGATAATACACATTTTCTTATCTTCTCAGCAACTTGCCCTGAATATAATTAGAGCTTTGCATTGATGGCCTGGAGCCATTACGGGAACATAGTTATTATCCTGGGCTATCTGCAGTACTGGGCTACTTGTTCCTACACTAAATGGCTCCCAGACGCTTTCTTTGTGGGATTCTGTAGTCTGATTTTGATCACCTTTCAATCTGTCTCGTCACCTATCAGCTGTTGTGGATGACAGTTCTCTTGAAGGTGGAGCCTTACTGGCCTTTTGACTCTAAGTCAGGCTTCTAAGAGCTGTGTGTAAAATCAGAACACAGTTCTGAGAGAGAACTTGAGCTCTCTCATAGGTGCAGGCACATAGAAATTGGTGTGACACGGATTTGGCCACCCAGAGAGTGTTTTGCTTCCTCATATGTTGTGAAATACAAAATAAGCTAATGAGCTCTCCTTCTCCCTCCTGTGAACTCCCCTCCTTGATGCTTCCAGTAGTTACCCAGTCTGCCTTCTTGAGAGTCATCATTTTCAACCATTCCTCTTGAGAGTCATCATTTTCAACCATTCCTCTGCCTCTTGGATGATTTTATAGACTCTGAAAGTAGGAAGACATTTCAGAGGAGACCTAGTCCGCCCGCCATCCTTGCCAAGCTCCCTCCCACCTTTTCCGGCCTGTGGTGAGGGCACAGGGCTGGGATCCTCAGATGCTCTGTGGCTGTTCAGAGCCTTGGGAAATCCTCTTTTTTCATCTTCTGTGTTCATTTTTTTTTTTTTTTTTTCTGAAACAGAGTTTCACTGTTGTCACCCAGGCGGGAGTGCAATGGCGCGATCTCGGCTCATGCAATCTCCGCCTCCTGGGTTCAAGCTATGAGTAGCTGGGACTACAGGTGCCTACCACCAAGCCCGGCTAATTTTCATACTTTTAGTAGACACGGGGTTTCACCATGTTGGCCAGGCTGGTCTCGAACACCTGACCTCAGGTGATCCGCCCGCCTTGGCCTCCCACAGTGCTGGGATTACAGGTGTGAGCCACCATGCCCGGCCATTGTCATCTTCTTACAGGCTCAGAACCAATGGCACAGGCCAGGCCCTCCCTCATCCTTGAGAGAGGCCGAGGCCTTCCAACATTTGAAGACGTCCAAACACCCCCTGGAACCTCATCCATTTTCCCCAGAACACAGTCTCCAGGGTGGGGCCCTTTGGATACTGCCCTTTGGAAATGCAGCAGGCAGGTGTGAACCGCACTCTGAAGAGGCAGAACAGCCAACCACACAGATGGTAGCATCTGAGGCCAGGTGGTCAGAGAGGGAGCAGAGCCCGGGGCACTGCAGAAAACTGGCCTGTGCCAATGGTCAGTCCGAGGGCCCCAGGGCAGAAGGGGAGGCAGCACACTAGATGAGGAACTGAGAAGCAGGAAGAGAATTATTAGCAGGATGGATGGAAAGGTGGTTCGGCCATAAATCTGAACTTGGACGATTCTTAACTTTGGAAGACCTGGATGCCTTCTGGTGCCCACCTCTCCCCTTCCAATGTCCTCCCTTAGCCTGGAAATTTCCTCCTTTCTTACTAACTAGCTGCTCACCTGGAAAGCCCTTTCCTCTTCTCCTTGGCCCCTTAGCTGTCAGGACCCGGGGAGAATTGGATGAAGAAAATGGAAAGCTGGGAGGTTCCCAGCAGCACCCCAAGAACTGCTATAAGGAGAAGAGGCCCCAGCGGAGAGGACTGAGGATTTGGGGTCACGCTCTGGCCTCAACCCTGCAGCTCTATTTTACACATGGACACATGGATGTTTTTTCTTCTATTTATTTTTGTCTTTTTCTTTCTTTTTTTTTTTTTTTTTTGAGACGGAGTCTTCTCTGTCCGCCAGGCTGGGGTGCAGTGGCCCGGATCTCAGCTCACCTGCAAA